TCTCTGGGTTTGTGTCTTTCCCTTCCTCGGCGAACCGCGATGATCTCATAACTCAATGAACTCGGCGACCTCCACTTTCACTAGCTCTCTGCCAGCCACTTCTTCGCCATTCAAACATTTCTCACATTTATTACTAGTTTTTTTCTGGCGTTTCGTGGATTTTCCCATAATTCCTCATTTCTGGCAATTTTCTCTACGCCTTGCTGTGTTTTTATTATTTGTTGGCATTAGCATAAAAAATTCGAAATTCCAAAAGAGTTTCATTAAAATGAGCTTGTTTTCCTTTGTTGTGGTTGTCTATCTGGGTTTGTTTTGCTTTTTATCTTGTACCCCAAAGCCCTCAGATTTTTCTGTGCACATTTTTTTTGCAAATCGGAATTGGCTCACGTAATAAATATCATAAATTGCGTTTTACTTTGACACACATTAGCCAAAACCGCACCAAAAATGAACTGAGTAGCAATGAACGCTCTCTTTTTTGTTATTGTCAATTTGTGGCCGACTTTTTTGTGTTGTTGATGCTTCAGCGTTTGTTTTTGTCGTTTTCACTGGAATTTCGCTGCTTTTTTCTGTTTTTATCGGCAAATTTGTTGTTTTGCTTGGACTTTCTGCTTTCGCCCTTGCAATTGCAAAACAATATGATAAGATCATCATTGCCATCCTCATCAGAATCATCATGGCAGTCATTATAGAAGGTCGAAAAAATGCTCAAAGCTAAAATAATGATTTGTTATTGTTTGGTTTTGTGTTTTTGTTCGTCAAGGCTTACGTGGCGTATGAGTAATTTGTTGTCTGTTTGTTTATTGAATTTAAATTGCGTTGGTTCCAACTGTTAATTAGCAGCGGCAAAAACAAGAGACCGAAAAAAATGATGAAAAATATGAAAATGATGAGGAAAATTGCCAGCGAGTTGGTGAGAAGGGGAAAAACCCGGTGAAAAACAGCCAGACACGCAAAAAGGAAATCTGTGGCCAAAGCAGAGACTTGTTGTCAGCAAATAACAACGAAACAGAAGACAGAAAAACAAACAGCAAAAAGAGCGCAACAGAAAACTACACACAAACAGCAACTGCAACAACGGCAAACAAAATGTGCAATTTTTTCCTTGCCTCCACTTCACTTAGCAACATTGTTGCAGCCGCAGACGGGGCAGAGGGGGGGCAGAGGGGGCTGCAGGCAGTCAGCTCAATGGAAATGTATGAATTGCATTTGCTAAATAAAAAAGAGGCAGACTGCAGACGGCAAAAAATGCAGAAAAACTGAAAAATGCTGCGCCTGCGCCAGCGGCAGAAAGTGAAAGATGATCGCGATTGCAGGGGAAAAAACCAGGACAGATTGAGGGGATTTGGGGGGTGGAAAAAGGGGGCAGACAGGCCGGGGAGAGGGGGGAATAGGTGCAAGACAGATCACACAATGGGAGCGTGAGTTGGCAAAATATTTTCTGTAGTTTTGCATACTCTGTTCGAAGAGGGTTTTACTATTTTTCATAAGGATATGACCTATGCATCATAAGCAGAACTGGAAACCAATAAAAAGATAGTGTGTTTTTCCAAAAATTGGGCCAAAACCTAGATTTTATTAACTGCTTTTTGAGTTTTAAATATAATGTTGGTGTCCTGCAAAGCAATTTTCTTGAATTAAAAATATTTGATTGATTCCACCAATAAATATAATGCAGAAATATTTGTAAAAAGGATTTCTAGGGTATCGAAATAATTGTGACCCGAAGACAGCTTTTCCGCCAAACAGTTAACTATGATCCCAAATGGGCTTGGAAAGATGGCCGATAACCATGCTGCCGCCCGCTCTGCCCCTCTCACTCACTCACTCTCGCCATCTCGCTCGGCGTGCTAATGACTTCAATGATTTGCAATTGTTGTCTAGCTCGAGGGCTGCCGACTCAGTTCAATTCGTTCAGAAACGAAAAGCTAAGGCCAACAAGTTGGTACCAAAGCATCATTAAGTCGTCGTCGTTTTTTACCAACCCGGCGAGTGGTGCGGAAGGGTTAAGGGGCGAGAGAGGGTTAAGCAGAATTAAAATAAATAAAAACTTCAAGTTTGAGCGCTTAAGTTGTTTGTTCCTCTCCGCCTCTTGAGCATAATTCATCTGCAACATTGTTGCACCAAATGCAGACAGACATAATGAAGGAGCCCGCCGCAAAAGGGGGTTAAAGGGGCGACAATGAGTTGAGCTGGAGGCGACACACTGGAGGCCCGCAGACTTGATGGCCAGAGCATTTTCTGTCATGCGGCTGCTAATAGATCTGGCAAACAGTGTGAAAAGGAACCACTGACAACTGATTGAGCCCCGAGCTCCAATGGACGCAACGGGTTAAGCGGGGACTAGGGGTTTGGGGGTCTAAAGGGGAAGCTGCTACTTTGACGAGTTCCTGTTAAACCCATTTCGTATGTCTCGTGCAGTTTAATGACTCCAAAGTTGGAAGTTCTTGTAAAAATGATGATTAACCGCGCGGGAAAGATGATGACAGGGATGGAGAGAGGCAGGATCATCATTATTTTTGTATTCTTTTCGATGGATTTTACTTTTGAAGATCCCAGATATGCAGACTTGTTAAGTTGTGTGTTTTCTGATTTTGTAACTCATGTAAATGTGAGGAAAATATATCAATAAAGTTGTATATCATTTTTATATAAGCTTTCATTTTTATAATGGCTCTAATAAAACATATGTCAATAAGTCAAGATTTACCTAATCGTTCATCGGTTCAATAGATCACCTTTAAGATCTTTGTCATTTATTTCAGATTTTCTTTAAATTGATTGCCATAAATACAAAACGAAACAGTATGGGTGAAATCCTGTCTTGGAAAAGTGCTTGGCCATAAAGGTTATTTATCGGTAAACTCGAAGCGGAGACCACCCAAGTAAAGTCACTTTTTCAGTCTTTTTTGGGTTTAACAGGGTCCGAGATTTATACACTCTCCGCCCCGTGAACCACCATCCTTCCTAAAAAAAAAAAAAAACATTCATATTTTCTCTTCATTTCGGGCTGGCGTTGCAATAATTTTTGTTTCGCATTTTGCGGGGACCAGGGAAAACGGATTTGAGTGGCCAGAGGAGCGAACGAAAAGGGGCGGGGAGCGGCTAGGAAGAGCGGTAATCGAGCATACAAGCGCATTAAGCACCAGACAATTATGTTGCGGCAACATTGTTGCAGTCAAGCGCCACCGCCGTCGTTGTCAGCCACGCCCCCTCCCCTGCCCACCTGCCTCCCCACGAAATCCACCACACAATTTTCGTCGGACGCCGCGCTTTACTTTATTCTGTTGTCTGAACGAGTGTGTGCTTTTTTCTGCATGCGCAATTTAAATTTAGTCAGCTGGAAAATTTTATGAGGCCGAAGTCATAAAAAGCGACTAAAATAAAGGAAAGCAGGGGAGGCGGCGGCGGCGAAAAGTGACTAGTCGGAGGTGGGTGGGGACTTCATTAGCGGGACTGTACCAAAAGATACTAGTTTTGGATGCGTCGGCAATTAGTTTAACGTATCTGGGAAAAGTTTGTTACTTAAGACTTATCTAAGTCTGGCTAAAGTTAATCAGAACAAGGATTATTACTTTAAAGATACAATTTGACTTGCAATTTATCAATTATTGTAAATTCACAGAGATGATTTAGATTTTCCTACTTATAATTTAAAGATATATTTTATAATTTTTTGATATTTGTATTACTATTAAAGAGAGAGTGCTTTGCATAAATTGTTCTGTATTTCGTAAGCGCAAGGAAAAGTTGATCGAATCTGTCCCTGAAATGTCCGACAAATTTTTACGATCTGCCAAGAAAATGTTAATTAAAATGTGAACGGGAATGTCACCCTCTGCAGAGCCCCCACCACCTCCACCCACCCCCACTTGCATCGCAGGATAATCAAAAACCAATACCAGACCTGATACATCCCCCAATCCCAATTTCAGTCGCCATTCAGGTCCCATCCCTTTGCGTTAATGCTGCGTCATCATTTGATATTCATGAGGCAGTCGGAAAATGTCCAACACCAAGGGTGGGGGTTTGAAAAAGCCAGGGGGGAGCATGGAATTTGTTCGACACTCACAGTCACGTCCTTGTGAACCTGCAGTGCAAAATTTAAATAAATGCTCGCGTTGTCCCCTCACCTTTCTTTTTACATATACACAAATACACTTATATAGTCACATATTTTGTCCTGCTCTTTTCCGACCGTTTTCCCTCGCTTTCCTCCGCTTTTCCCGCACTTGACCGAGTGAGCGCGAGTCTATTAGCAGGAGTCCAGAGAGCAACTCGCTTGGCCATAATCACCTTGTTTGTCGGCCGGAACACCTTTAATGGCCAACGGGGCGGAGAGGTGTCGTTACGGCGGATAATCATTGTCGGCGGGACTGGAGGATTTCCCGGGGAGCGGGGCCCATCAAATAAACGTAATTCAATGCACATAATGACAACAACATTTCCATTTTTGACTTCATTTTTTTTTCGGTAGCGCTTTTCCCAACCAACAACAGCTGTCAAGAAGGGGGGCTACCAGCTTAGAGGGTCTTTGTTGGCATTTGCATATGGCCAATTGGGCAATGTCAACAAAAAGCGAGAAAACTCATCGAAGTCAAAGTCAGCAAAAGATGATTACGAAGGGGAAAATATGGAGCGACATTGCGGGAGTCCTGCGAAGACATTATGTGGCGTTAGGGTGCCTCTAATGATTATAAATCAGATTAATATCACGATTGGGGGATGATAATTAGAGCAAGTGAATGTCGGTTTCCCATAAGGTTTTGTGCACGCATAATTTAAGCGTTTGCAAAAGGTTAGCTTATTTACAGGTAACTTAAATGGAAGTATTAATTATCACAAAAAACTGACAATTCTAAAATGATAAGGGCTACATATATATGTATGGGGTTCGTAACTTAATTCCCCGATAGATTTACCATATTTAGAGTATCGACTTATGACCTTCTTTCTTTTCCCCTTTCCCCAAAAAAACTGTTTTCGTTAGTGGTGTTGGAGTAAAACTTTATTTCTGGATTGTTTTTGGATTGGAAACGTTACAAATATGGCGAAAATCTCGAACGTATCGATACGCACTACGCTCTAACATTGGATGTATTTAGTTCGATAACGATGTGTTGTGGGTGTTAATCGAGTGTGTGTGTGTTGTGGGGTGTGAAGTAAAACTTACGCACTAATTCGAGTTGCTTCACTGGAGTTAGGTGTGTGTGTTCAGTGTGAATGGGGATTTTGCAGATGCAAAATGCAAAACGCAGTCGATAACAGTGTTGGCCACATCCTTGAACCATTTTCACTCACAGTCACAGGCACATGCACACTCAATTCACACGACAACTGAAAACGTTGCACATACGACCCGTATGCACGCTAGTTGCTTGCTCCTCTCCCCCTCTGACTTCCCATTTGCCACACTTTCCACACTTCCCACATTTTCCATTTTCCACTTTTCACTCCTGCTCGATTGGATGCAGCCAAGTGTTATGCAACTGCTTAAAGGACTTTATCGTGTGATTTCTTTGGTGATTTGCGTTGTTTGAGTTGTGATTTGTGTGGTGTTGTGTGCCTCATCTGGTATTTTCCCCGCATCCTGGGCAGGGGAGTCCTCCGCAGCATCCTTAGAGCAGGTAGCATTTCCGCCGCCAGCAGGAGCAGGTGCAGTGCCCATGGCGATAGTAGCGACAGAGGCACTTGAGATACTTGTAGCCCGCACAGCAGTGATGCGAGTGCGAGTGCGAATGCGAGTGGTAGTGGCTGTAGCAGGAGCTGTCGTGCAGACAGTACGAATAGCAGCCGCAGTCGCACATCTTTTCGCCGAGTGTGGGGTCCTTCTTTGCCTTGACTTGACTTGACTTGTCTCTAATCTCGAGAATCTGGAGTGTGTGTGGAGTCCTCTGGATTTGCGCGGTGCGTCCCAGCTCCTTGGCTCGCTGTTGCCCAACTGATTTCTGGCCAACGCTCCGTCTTTCGACTTGGCTTAGGTTAGTTTGCCTCAACGGCCTCCAAGGCGAGTCAGTTACTAATGGCTACGGGCGCGAGCCCAAGTTTGATCGATCACGGAGATACATTTGCGTATTTGGGTGGCCAACATTCGTACCACGAACCGGAGCGGGCTGCAATATATGGGTTAGCACTGTTGTTGTTATGGCAATTCATGTGGAAATCATGTCAATTGATTTTGGACAACTAGTCCTCCATCTCCGCCGTCACCGTTTAGGTTCCTGTTATTTGTGTGGTTTACTGAGCCAAGAGTTAGAGGGTATCGGTAGTATAATTGAACAGAATCAAAGAGTTATAGGTTTACCCAGGAAGGAAAAGGAATCGGTGTTCGAAACTCGATTTAGAAATCTTTTATTATAAACTAAAAGATGATGATCAAATTTAAGTGTTTTAGAAACGTATTAAAATCGCGAGTATTTCTATTGAAATGGATAATTTTGAATAACCCATGTTAAGCAATCGTAAAATAAACAAAATTTTAGATTTATAATTTCCCAGGGTAATCCCACGCCTAGACCCACACCAACATTTTCAGCACAATTTTTGCCTGGCACCGCGCACCTAACTCAACTCAAGCCGTATGATTAATTCGCAATGCTGTCGCTGATTTTATGACCGAAATATTTGGGTATATTTTTGTGCATTAGCTGCCGTCGGCCCGAAATAGACTTGGCCAAATGCAAATTCATGCCTGACCCACATTGACGGCTGGGGCATTAGTCACCGCCATTGGGGGATCTACAGATAGAGATACGGGTGTATCTGCATCACTGCTAGCTGCTCTCTTGTGTTGAAATCGATGACACACGCGGCGAATGCAAATCTGACGTCATTGAGGCGGCCACACGGCGTATACGTCATCTTGTTTGTGCGTTCAGGCTGAGATAAGCTAGGTTCTGCGACTGTGGCGGACTGCAAATGAGATCAGGGGATCTGCACTGGATGAGGTCATCGCAGTAGTGCGATCATTAGTGTGCTGGGTGTTGTTTACCCTCTCTCAAACAGCTGCTAATTGCTAATTCCAATTTGGATACGCGTTAAACAATCAGGAAATGTTTTACTCGATCACTTAGCAGATCATTAGTCCGCAGTTTGCTGTAGGAAAGGTCAAAACCTTAGAGTAACTTGTGTTGGTCAAGATGAGGTCAATGGTCGGTTGAAAGGTGTTATTATACAGAATGGGAAATATTTATTTTCAGGATGTCAACAAAGCAAAAAATGTATAATTTTAAGATAAACCATTGCAACTAGTATAGTAATCCAAACCATATTATTATTTTTTGAATTATTTAAGTGCCACATAATTTTTTAATTAATATATTGAATAAAATGGACTGGTTAAGTCCCGAAGCTTGACTTAAATTTTACATTCCTGTCATGTGTCACAGCCCATCGTGTAATGTTCACTGTGAAATCTACCCATTTCGGCTAATAGCTCCCCAATTTAATTCGCGAACCATAATTTGCACTCTGCCACATGCGTGTTGCTTATCTGCTATCTCCTTTTGTTTTCATTATTATATTTGGGGGAAAGCACCGTTTTAACCCTTGTTTAGGGTTCAATTAAAGTGGCGAGCACACGTAACGTGGCTTTAATGTCAGGGACGAGGTAAGAGGTCCTGCTGCTGCTGTCAAGTGTCCTTGTGCGCTTAAAAAGTCTTTGCACACGTATCCCCAATGGCGAAAAGTTTTGTCAGCTAGCCAAAACCTGGTTAAAAACGCTGGGGCAGGGGATCGAGTCTCGGTTTTTGGGTTCGAGAAGGTTGCAAGTGCATGGTTCTCAGCAGTTTAGTTCAAGTTGTTTCAAGTAACACTCAAAGGACAACGGGGCGGACAAATAACGACGGTCCTCGGACCATATGGACTAGGGAAACAATCGCAGGTCCTTGACGGGATTGCAGGGACAGGAAGCGCCGGCTGTCAGTGTGTGGCAAATAATGGTGTTGCGTGTCGTTCTTGCCACAAAACGATGATGATAACCGAGAGAGCCCAAGCCACGACAGCTGACTCTGGAAATGACAAAAAAAAATGTCCAAAATACGCAAAAAAAAATGGGGAAAATAATGCACCAGGCGATGCAAGAAAATAAACTTCTTCCGGACCAAGTTCTCTGCGGTCTCCCCGCGAAAAGCGTCACTGACACTTAAATTAAATTTGTTTCCATTCCGACGGCGACACTTTCGGTTCGCTTCGCTTGGGGTTCACTTCGGTTTTTCTTTGGGTACACCGACTCCTCGCCAAAATCCGACCAAGTCAGCCGAGCTGAGAAATGCATTTTGTAATAAAATAAATTAAAACGAAAGCAAAGCAAATTGTACACTCCAACTTGCCGAAACCAAACAATGCCCAGGAGAGAGGAGGGTGGAGTTGGTTTTTTGAGGCGGGAGTGGGCGAAAAGGAGGCGTAACCTCAGACAGAGTGAAAAGCTGTCGCTGCCGTTGGTCGAAAGTTCGAGCTACACACAAACAATTGGGAGAGTAGCTAATAATAAAAATTATGCAAGAGAAATATATACAATCTATAAATCGGTAATGGGTTTAAATTTAGTGTCTAACCCCCTAAATCATAGCATAATATGGGTTATGTCATCTCAATGCTGTACTAAGGAAACCTACTCGCATTCCCATGTACATATATACATAATACTACATAAATTTAATGTTTTTAAATTGTTCACAACTGTTTTGCAATGTCTCCTCTTTCAATTATAATCTTCTACATTTTTTTAGCAGCGTTTTCAATTAATTGTACTTTCTTTTGATTGATATCTTTATGGTTCATTATACCCCTTTAAATATCCATGTTTTTATCCTTGCTGTTTACCATTCTCTTCACCTTTTCCCCGCTTTTCCCACTTCCTACCGATTGTTTCATCTGGCAGATACTAAAGTGTGAGTTATTGTTGCTGTTGTTGCAACTTTTCATACCGCTCTGCTTGCTGATGCGGATGTGTGGGTGTGCCACTGAAATGCCTCACAACATCAGCGGCAACAACATCAACAGGAGCATTCCATGTCCATGTCCATCCTTTCCTCCATGGCCATATTGTTCTTCTGTGAAATGGAACCAAACTGAGTGGTAAACTGCACTAAAAAAATATTTTCTATAGCAGCTAGAGCCTTACATCATTTAATGAAGATTAATCACATTCGCCCACTAAATTTTTACTGTGCAGTAGCTTCAAAGTTAGTATGGACATTAAATATATAATTTATAATACGATTTCAAACACTCATAAAGTTCGTACAAAACTAAATTAACTTTTTAATTACACTATCCCATCTTCCAGCTTGACGTTCATTGCCATATTAAAGTTCATCAATATTTTAATTTTCGCATAGGAATTCGTTACTACTCATAAAATGTTATGGTAAATGGCAAATGGCACTTGCACAACCTGGTGTTACATACATACACATGTTTCTGATCCGAGAAACTAATTATCAATGAGGACCATCGGTTTCGTAGTTACTTCTGTGTTCTACAAATAGGTAGATAGGTTTGCTTTTACTTAGGAATTTTTAATAATGATAATTATAAAGGCATTAAATAATTAAAGGTTATATTCGCGCAAGCTACAATTAGTCTTCGATTATTGGATTACCAATTGGTAACTACAAAATGTTAAAAGTAATCGGCACTTTCGAATCAATGGGAATTCGAATAATTAATACGAAAATGTAATCACTTAACATATCTATATTTTGCCAAGCTTTCTAGTTTAATATCCTTTTTTCTTTCTGTGAAGTGCAGAGTCAGGGACGGATTTCCTCTCGTTTGGTTCGTTTCAGTTCGGTTTTGTTTGGTTCGTGCAAAATTCTTGTTTTCTCGCATTTATTGTTTTTGGATGAAGGGTTGGGTGGCTGGCAGCAGGTGGGGCGAGAAAAAGGCACAGCGTAAAAGCCACAGCCAAACAAACACATTTCAATCAAAATGCCCGACAGACAGGGATGTGGCGTTCATGTGGGTGACTCCACAGAGAAGAGGGGGTGATTTCCAGGGAAGGCGATTCCAAGGGGGTTCCGAATTCCGGGGGCTTGGACAGAACACCGACATAACTGTTGCTGGACGTGCACGAGGGCCAGTGCCACAACTGCTACAAAGTGGCACTTGCCAGCTTTTTGACACAAGTTGGCTTGCCACATGCCAACGCAGGTTGCTGCTGCAACTGCCACATGCAGCAACATTCTCGCGTTGCTGCTGCAACTGCGGCGGGGTTGTGGCATGCCCAACTGATTTCGACTCGATTCGCAATAAAGACATTCGAAACGTCCTCCCACTCGATGGCAACTTTGTCCTTGGATTGCCACCTCTCACACAACATGACAGCCTGAAGTTTGACAGGAGAAACAAGCCGAAACTATTTGCAACAATGCAAAAATTTGTGTGGCAATAAGAAAGGAAACGATTATGTTGATTACTTTCACAGCATACGTTTTTAAGGGTTTCAAGCCAGTAAGATCCTTTAAAAATTTCGGAATTTTGAAAGGATCAAACAAGTCAGTTTGTTTATTAAAAGAAATTAACTTGGTGGTAGACAGGTCATCCATTAGAGAATTACTGTACTTTAAATATTAAAATATAACTTACAGGAGAAATATCAATAAATATTTATGGTTTCCACTAGATTTAATATTTTTCTATGGAATAATTTTTAAAACAATGGAATGAAAACACTAGGGACCTTATCGAAGTCAATTTAAATAAAATTAAATTCGCGTGGTTCGGCTTCTGCATTCCTGGCATAAACTTTGGCCAAGCCATTTATTCTCGTTGTTTTTCCAGCATTCCTGTAGCAAGAACGCCAAAAAATGCATTTGCCCGTTCAGTCACGCCATTTTACCACCCGAAAAAAACAGAAAAGAAATTAAAATGGTAAAATTTGTAGAACAACATCATTAGGGGGACCAGAACAAACCGTTTGCCTTT